ATTGCCTAAGCCAACGAAAACTGCTACAAAGTAGAAGAATTGGGTCTGACATTGTAATCCGAAAATGAAAAATGTAACTTTCTTATGTTTTTTTAGGGAGCTACAAGGTGTAGTGGCTATGAACGGGTGACTGGAGGCAACATGCCAACTGAATCTCAAATTGAAAACCAACTGGATGTGAAGGAACTTAATGCATATGCTGAAGTCATCTGTATGGTGAATGGCATTAAAAACATCCTTCTACTGTTGTTAGTTCTATCATTTCTGAATTTGGCAGTTCAAGTGATGAAGAAGTAAGAAACTTTTTGCGTCTGGAAATCTTCAAGCAATTTCAAGTATATATTTATAAATTGTGTTCTGTGTTGGCTTTTCAAGTATATATTTTGTAATTTTCTAATCCGGATAGCTATGAAATATGAAGAAGTGTTTGCAAATCTACTATTATGAATTAATCATTGAGCATAATTAGGAAATGAATTTTTGAACGTTTGATATGCCTGCATCTTGACCTTCACAATCTTGTTTGCCGGAAACAAGAAACATTCCTATTTATTCCACATTTGAAAACACAGTGTCGCAGGTCCTACGGTTTATGGTTCAACATAGTATCAACAACATGTGTTGACGGTTTCGTACAGGTTGTATTTGAACCCAATAAAAATAACTTATTCTTTAATTTTAAGTCAAAAGGGGTAGTTGGATCATAAAGAAGAGTTTGTTCATTAACAAGTAAGACTCAAAACTTCCTTTTCAAAACCTTCGTACAAACGGGAAGGATGCCCTCAAGCATGCGAAGAAAGCTCTTCGAGGTTCCCTTATATGATAGAAAGGTTAGTTCTCTATCTCGCGAATTGAGCCAATACCAAGCTATATGAATTTCTTCAGTTAAACTACAGTCACCTACATAATTACAAACCGCCCACCCAGTGAAAAGAAGTTTGCAAGTTTTTTATACTACACCCACCCAGTTATGTCATATTGCCTCTCCTAATTAAGCACACGCGTTAATATCCCTGCAACAACTGCACAGCGAGCTTCAACTGATACAAGGGCATGGCATGATGGGAAATATTGGCTAGTTCTACATTGGAGGTCAGAAACTCGCAGTATTTTAAAATGTACATCCCACAGTCGCCCCTGAAACATAGCGAAGCAGCTGTCATTCATTGTACAACAAAAGCGCACTTTCATAACACAATGTGTTTAGGTCGAATATGACTCACCCGCCTACTTGTTGGGGGGTGCATCCAAAACGCGACTAACTGACCACTCAGTTTTAAGTAGACCGTCGCCAGTATATCCAGCTTTGAGTAACAACCGGGGCAGTATTTTGGACACCGACTGCACAGCCCGTTGGATGGCTTGAGTTCTGCACAGATCTACTTTTGAATTATATACCCTTATCTCACACTCTTTTAAATCGAGAACAAGTAAGATCCAGTGCTTCTGCCTTTCTAGGTTGAAGGGCAAAAAAACTTGATTCACAAACTCCCATGATTTAGCCAACTTATGCCCTTCGCCCTTCACCATTCCCACTAGACCGTTGCTGTGCTTCCTCTCCTCCTTTCCAATATACGACTTCATTTGCGTGTAATCTAAGGCAGCATATTTCTGCATAGTGGCACACCCGTTATGCATCATAATGGATACGGAATTTCAAAACAAACAATGCTTATGAAATAATACAGACCTGAAAAGTGGTGTCCAGTATCGTCCAGTCAAAACTCGCCCACTTGCCAGACCTGTTGTGCCGCTCCCGTAGCAAATGCAAGGCCATGTCAATGTTCTACATAAAAGGGTTGTTTCCATTATTAAATCAATCAATTACTACATAGCAAGGGCTTATCGACAAAATCCCAAATCAATCAATGCTTACCGAGTCATCCAACCAACCGTCCTTGGTCAACAACCGAACAAAGAAGTTATGCGAACCTTCCATAGCTTCGTCTCCACATAACCGCACATGTGAACTATATTTGTCAATTATTGTTATTAGATCAATTCCGTTTCACCAATGACTCAATAGGTAATCATAATAAACCATTTACATTTCACTAAGGATGGGCAAAGGGAACTTACTTTACTTATTGTCCCCATTCCCAGCAAAATTTTGCCACCTCTAGAAGGGAATCACGAGGAACCGGCCTTAGGGGGTCAGCAATTGGGTCCTTCGAAATATTGGGAATCTCCCGACCTTGCCATGGAGTTTCCCTTACCACTGCCCTTGGCCTCTTCGTCACAGGACCAACCGTCCGACTCCTTCCCCGACCCCTCTTTCGCCCCACCCCAACTATAACATCTTCGCCACATTCACTCTTTGCAGTGGACATGTCAATCTTTCGAGGAGGATTCGTAAGGAATTTAACAAGGGTGACACACACCACATCTGGATCATCCTAATTTATATCCGGGGTTGTATATTGCACCTCTTCTTTCTCATTTTGTACACACTCCTCTCTCGATTCGGCTACTCCAGCTTCCTCAGTTTTATCACTCTCCTCTCCAGCATCCTCAGTCTCATGTCTCTCCTCTCCAGCATCCTCAGTCTTATGTCTCTCCTCTCCAGCATCCTCA